GTGCCTGCGTGCCTGCGTGCCTGCGTGCCTGCGTGCCTGCGTGCCTGCGTGCCTGCGCGAATCAACAATTGAATCAATAAACTGCATAAATCTACTATTGAATCAACAAAACGTAAATAATTCAATGTTATTATGTTTATTTAATTCGATATCAACACAATCATAAATTTATTTGGAGCTTAATGCGGTTAAACTTCGGAATCACTTTTCCCCCCTGATTTATCAAAATAAATTAAATTCAATTAATTAACGTATTTGATAAATTTATTCTTCTATCTTTTCATATATTTGTTTATTTTTTAAAGTTTCTAAATGTTTTCAGCGATCTAAATGATATTCACATTTAACAAGAAAAAAAATTTCTTAGTTTTTTCGCAGCGTGTTTGACTGGAATAACGACTAGAGTTCATTGTTTCACTTCCATTGTTCTTGGCCTGTAATGTCTTGTCTCTTTTAACATCGATGATCTCACGGTTAAACTATCCTGATGTCAGTATAGATCATAAAAGGGTTTTTTTGTCTGAGGAATAAGAATCAGTCATAATAGATTACTTGATAATTCCTGGGATGAATGAATGGGTGGATGGATGGATGGATGGAGTAAGAATTAGGCATCGTTAAGATAGATATTAGAAATACAAACAAAAAAGCAAGAGTGAATGAATTGAAGACAGGTAGATTACCCACATGAAATGATGAGTGGATGGATGAATGGATGGATGGATGGAGTAAGAATTAGGCATCGTTAAGATAGATATTAGAAATACAAACAAAAAAGCAAGAGTGAATGAATTGAAGACAGCTAGTTATTAAATATAACATAAAAGACAAACAAATAAATAAACTATCAAGTATATGTATATATATATATATATAATTGATTGTAGAAAGGTTGTAGTTTACTTTTAAATAAATATCTAATGAGATACAAGGCTTTAGTTCCGTCTCTCAAGAACAAAAGACACAAACGTATACATATGATATATATCTGAATTGGCAGACAAACCACATACAAACCACATACGCACATACAAACTAACTAAATAAATAAATACAGCAAAATAATAATGATAATAATGAATGAAAAAAAAAAGTGGGGGGCGCAGTGAATTTTAAGTAACTTTTGGCTTCAATTACTGAAAGACAGAACTCTACACATTTTTTTGGAAAAACAAATTGTGTTATATTTCTGATGACATTATGCGTRTTCATGATTCATCCCATGTCCTGCCTAAACTTTTCCTAACCCACAGCTTTTCCTTAAGAATGTTGTCGAATGTACTAAAACACCTTAGAAACTACTTACAAAAGACCTTTTTCCTGATTTGCATCGTCTATACCAGCATATTCCATTTGTTCGCTTTTCTAATCGCTGTGGTCTTTGAACTCTATAATCTCTTGAGATCTGTTCCATCTTGTTCTCTTCCGTAGGTAATTCTTCGTATTCTTGAGATAGTACAATACCAAAAAGGACGAACACCGCAAGATAAGGTAGCCAATTCATTTCTGGAATGGTTTGCGCTAACTTTGTCTTTGCCTAGTTTTAAAGCGTAAATAAGTTTGCTCTCTCTGCCATTTTTATTTAATTTTACAAACCATTTTTGTTTAGAATGTTCTCAATTGCGTGGTAATTTCTTTAAAATTAGGGCGATAAATAGTTAAGGACTCACAGAAAATTTAATTTAAATTCACCAAGCGATAAAAAAGACGCTTCGATTACAAAAGGAGTAGTTGTTTGACCGCATATGGAGTTACGCAGGTGTTGTTAAGTCTCTGATTGTTCGGCTGTCTAACTATTAACACTCAGATATAAACCAAATCTAAGGTTTATTGTCAAACTGGCCAAAAAAAAAAAAAAAAAGGCAATTTCTTATTTGTACTTACTTTGCCTTGAAATTGCAAACCAAAGAACTTCTATACAAGAAATGTGATCTCTAACATAACCCGACATTCTTCTTTTTCAGT